GGGATATTTGACAAGTAATGTAATTTATATATGGAATATAACAGACAAGAGGTGAGCAATGCCCTGCTCAAGGGATCTTCCAATCCATGAAAGCTACAGTCACAGCTTGTTGTAGTTTGGCCGTATTAGTCTAAATGTTGCTACTCGCAGTTACATTTCAGACATATGAGTTAAATCATATGAGGGTTTTTTGAGAATGAGATCACATAAACAAACTATGGGATTTCCTTACAAGGAAGAGAAACGGGCAAATTGCATTTCACACATTCAGCGACAGAAAAACATGTGAAAATCATATGGATGTATTTTATTAGTAGACACCAAAACAACAGATAACTAGAGGTCTGGTTGGTGTTTCCACCTTCCAAGCCTCTAATTTGAGTGCAGCACTATATACATCTGTACAGAATGAGTGTTTAAATATATATATGTGACTTACCCCTCTTAATAGGCTTATTAGGGGGTGTACATAAAAGATAAAAACAGAATTGTGCAGTATTATATATGTATGCAGAATATTGTTGTAATGTGTGAGTTAGATATACTCACATTATTTAAACTTCTAGGCTTCCGTGTCTTTTTAAGGTAGACAGCTTGACTCCTTTAATTCTTCAAGATTCTTACTCCTCTCCACTCCACAATGTATATATGCGAGACTCTAGGTGCAGTATTTTGGGAAATCCTCTTTGGGATAATATTTAGAGAAGAAGAAAAAATGGGTGCTCACCTCTTTAACAGCCTTTTAGATACTGGCTCACAGTTTACAGGCTTAGTGTCAAATTGGGGTGACACCTCCCCTTACCGGAAAGAGTGCAGAATGCAGTAGTAGGTATTACTAAATGTATTACTAAGTATAAATAAAATACAAATAGATAAAACACAGTTAACTAGAAAATAAAAAACAATATATATATATCAATAGCTCTATAGGGCTGCAGATAAGTAGTCTCAGTAATAGTCTGTGTCTCCTCTGCCAAGACGCGTTTTGCTCCGATTAGCTTCCTCAGTTGGCTTAGTATTTTATTAGTACATTTATTTATTTTGATTCTCTCTCATTTTTGGTGTTTCGGGGGACTATAACCACTTCATTGGAGCATATATTCCAGTTCAGAATAAAGCAATTGTCGCAGTCAAACTAAGATTTAATTTGGCGTATTAACCATCTAAGCTATGCCATTAGCTCTGTCATGATGCAAGCAATGTTGGCAGAGATTTATTAATGCATAGCAGGTTTTATTCTAAGTGCAATGTACTATATGTTGAGATGTCAGTCCCTACATTGGCTTCCTATAAAATATAGAGCTCAATTTAAAATTCTGGTTCTTGCTTTCAAATCTCTACATAATGCTGCTCCCACCTATCTTTCCTCCCTTATACGCAATGTCCCGTCTAGGCCCTTACGATCTGCTGAAGACTTACGTCTATCTTCTGTCCATACTCCCACCTCTGATGCTCGCCTTCAAGATTTCTCGAGGGCTGCACCATTCCTGTGGAACTCTCTTCCCTCCTCTGTTGGATGCTCACTCAGTCTCCACTCCTTCAATAAATAGTTAAAAAAACACAAAGCGTATCAGTTAAACTGTTAATAGCTCCTGACTGATTCCTCTTCTGCAACTGTCACTAGCCTAATACTATCCTTCCTTTTTGTGTCATTTTACCCCACTCCCTCTAGCATGTAAGCTCATTGAGCAGGGCGCTCAACCCCTCTGTTCCTGTGTGTCCAACTTGTCTGGTTACAACTACATGTCTGTTCGTCTACCCATTGTAAAGCGCTGAGGAATTTGATGGCGCTATATAAATATCATAATAATAATAATAATGTGTACCATTGGTTGTCATGGTGACTGCACCTTATTTAGCCGTTTTTCTCAGAATAGCACCTGTATTTAACTTGATAAAGGCAAAAAAGATGCTATTATAGTTGCAAAATGCTAAACTTTGAGACATTAGCCTATTGGTTTCCCTGATAATTGCAACTTATGTAGCTCCTGCTTTTGTCATCATATATCTCACTTTCCGTATTTTCTGATGTTTTTCTAAGGGAACCAACCATGGATTTTTAATATGTATTCCAACATTCAAGAAAAATTTATTTTTGTGTTCCAAAGAATACATTTCAAGGTTGAAATGGGTGCCTCAAACTTGGCTTCTTTTCAATAATGGTAAAAAAACAAACAAGAAAAACAGCCTTTGCACCTATCAAACAGCATACAGAGAGCATATAGAAAGCAAGAGAGGCAGAAAAAATGCTAAAATGTTTCCTCGTTCAGTATAAAGTGTGCCCAGGCTGTGCCAGGACTAAACTAGATTATAATTTATAACGTGAATTGCTATATCCTAAACCATGTTTAAAAGATAAAAAGTGTCTAATGAAGAATGGTTTTACTAGAATATACACCATTGAATACAACATTGAAAACCACATGTAACTTGTACTAAAGGGTAATTCCAAGCACCATGACCACTTCAGTGATTTGTAGTGGTCATGGTGCCTGGAGTGTACATGTTCAGTGTTTCACTAAAACAGAGAATAGCCTTTTGCTTGATGGAGGTGTAGCTCCACCTCCAGCAACACCATTGGGGTATCAACAGGGTATCATCTTGGGGTGTCAACTTTCATTGCACAGAATGTAAGTCATTGGATGAGTGCAGTCATGTATGCCGACCGCTGTGGCTCTGCAGAAACTGTAATGCCGACCACTGTGGTTCTGCAGAAACTGGAGTGCCGACCGCTTTGGCTCTGCAGAAAATGGACAACCTGGGAGCCTCAGAGCCCAACGGATACCCAGTTAATGGGGAAAACATTTGCTAAATGATTTGATCCATTATCAGGAAACTGGGGCATGGTACTCCTGGCATCATAAGCACTATACCGACCCGAACAGAAAGAGAAAAGTACATTAGATTAGAAAGCTTTTTTCTGTTATCATAGAAATAGCCTGATGTCTTCTCTATTTCATTGTACAAAGCAACGAGAAAAATTATGCTCGAAGAATACCACTCCTATTAATAACTATAATAGATTTTGTGGAAGAATAAATTCATTGGGTTGTAAAAAGATTTCTATCAGTGCATCCGATGCTTTAAACGTATAAATAGAAACAACGCACAACAGAGTAAAAACAGGTAAACAGCGCCATCTACTGTCCAACAAAGAAAATACAAATGGAAAGAAAATTGTGTCCATACTTCCTGCAATTTTATTTTTCTGATCAATCACTGTGGCAGACTTAACTAACGAGTTAGCTCATTTCACTCAGAGCTGAAAGGATAGTAAATAACTCTGATGTTAGTATAAACGGATCGCCCCTCACCGTCAGACAGTCTTAGTAACTGTGTGTTTGATCCCTTTCATAATGCAAATCCTTAGGATCTGGGTGAATTGACAAGTGTGTTGCTGGCTGCTTTACTCTTCAGTTAGTGAACACCCACCTACGACATTTCAGGCTGGCTTCAAAGGACAACTAAGTCTTCCAGTAACTCCATTTGTTATTGTTTTTTTACCATTATGGTGTGTAAATAGAGGAGGGCCAATATCACTTGGTCCTTATGTGTTAAAGTTGGTCTGAGCCCCTAAAGATAGCCTTGTTAACCTTCCTCATGCTGTCTTTTTGTGCTATAATGACTGCACATTATTTTACAAGTAAAAGGCACCAGAACAACTTTATCTAAATGCAGTTGTTATCGTGCCAGGACACCCCTTGAGGCAGTCTTACTTCAAGGGGTGAAACCGGTCTCAAACAGTTTATTCCGTAAGTTGCCTTCAGTGCTGGTCTCCACTACACCCCCCCCCCCGTCGGAAATCTATTTCCCTGAGTATCAATCAAATTTACCAGCGATGACAGTGAGAAGAGTGTGGGTATGAAAGGGTTAATAGCTAGCAGTCTCTGGTCCTATTTACTTTACTCTCCAACAGGACATAAAGCGATACCAAACTTATCCCCAGATCCGGCCTACACACCTCAGATTATAGCTAGCTAACATCACCGATACTTTATATGGGCATCTTTGGGTAAATTTAGCACAAACCTAACCATAATATACAATATATACTTTAACAGTAACTAAAAACTTTGGCAATTTGGTTACACAATTTTACCTTCAAGGAAAGTGTTGAGGGTTAAGGCAACCTTCGACACTACAAATGTTATGGACTACATCTATGTTGTGCAAAAAACAGATCACAAGAGTATTCTGATAATGGACAGCAGCTGAAATAGCCTGCCCTTCGGTGGGTCCCCTCTCAGAACTCAAGCTGGTTTTAGCTCATCTTGTGCCATTACAGAGAGAACATATCTGAAGCATATCAGACTGGTCCCACCCATACGGGTAGTCCAGATCCAAAATGCCAGCAAGTTCTCTCTGCACGAGAGATACAGCAACCCCAGACAATCGTTTCAGCCTTGTTAGGCATCATCAGTGAGGCATAGCTGATATCTCTCTAGGCACCGTGAGCAAGGGGTCCACGTCTGGAATACACTTTGAGTTCTGCTGTCCGTTCTCAGAATACTCTTGCGACCCGTTTTTGCTCTACATCTGTGTTGTGCCTAATCGTTAAATTCATGAAGTGCAATATCAAAAAGCATTAATCAATTACCTAAGGTTTTAAAACCGTCAGCTCCCGAGTGGAGCCGAATGCACATGCATGGCAAGAGCCGCGCTCCTTCAAACAGTCCATAGGAAAGCATTTCTCAATGCTTTCCTATGGACGTTCTGCAAGCTGGATGCGATTTTTGCATCTGCAGGGTTAAAATCTGGGGGGCCTGGTATTGAGCTGAAGTGGTCTGGGTGACTATAGTGTCCCTTTAAATACCCTGGGTTGTCCACTTTTACAAATGGTATGCCAAGATGGGAAATATAAGACAGATATCGCACTAACGAACCCTAGAGCGAAAATAAATTTAGGATTTTACTGCAGAAAACACCAATATGAAGCGAAATCGACCAAGCGGGTCTCAGCAATGAAAAATTAAGAAGGCACAGAAAAGTCAGCTGAGGCGATGTCTGGATCAATTTTAAAATATGTTGCACCTTCAACATCTACCACAGTAGGAGAAAGTGCTGAAGACGTTCAGTCTGTTGAATCCAGAGATGAAATGCCTGAAGTATCTTCTCAAGAAGCTTCATATGTGAAAGCGCAAGAATTGGAGAAGATCATTTTATCTTCAAGCGGTGAAAGTGATGTAGATGAAGGAGATGCCAGCAGAAGCCTGCATCAGCAAGACTCTGATGATGATGATGAAGAAGAAGAGGAGACTGTTCGACTGTCAGTTTATTCTGATGTTGCTGCTTGGCCAGTTCCAGTTCCAGATGTTTTAAGAGTGGACCTTATTAAGAGGGGAAGTGAACCTTTCCAAAATAGAGATGGGCCATTCAGTCCTGTTGAAAGGCAAGGAGAGAAATCAAAAGGGAAGAGTTGACAGCTGACCACTGCATGGTTCTATAAGGCTCTGCCTAATGGCGAAAAAATTCTTAGAATGTGGATGGTGTAGTCTCCATCAAAACAAAATTTGTTTTGTTTTTGCTGCAGACTTTTTGCTGTTGATGACAAAGTAACAGGGGCATCCAGTTTTCTTACTGGGTTTCAATTGTGGTGGAAGCTGAACCAAAAGGTGTCTGATCATGAGGCTTCTGAGCAGCATCTTACATGCTTGGAGAAACGGAAGACCTTGAGAGCAGGATTGAAGCTACAAAAATGCATTGATCATGTCCATCAAACAACAGTGGACAGAGAGAAAGGGAAATGGAGGGATATTTTGCATCGCCTTTTGGATGTAACTTTGTTTCTGGCTCACCAGAATCTTCCCTTTCGTGGTCATAGAGAGACCATGTCATCCGCAAACAAAGGCAACTTCCTCAAATTGGTAGAATTGCTCTCAAACTATGATCCCATTTTAAAGGAACATTTCATGAGGCTGAAACATGCTGTTGCATCTGGAAAGAGAATGACTTCCTATTTCTCTCCAAAAATTCAGAACAAATTAATTTGTCTTTTGGGAAATCATGTGAAGGACAAAATAGTGGCTGATATCAAGAAAGCAAAGTACTTTGGGATTCTTTTTGACAGCACCCCTGATGTGTCCCACACTGATCAGATGTGTGAAGTGATCAGATATGTTCATATTGAAGGGGACCATGTTGAAGTAAAGAATCATTCTTGGGCTTCTTTCCTGTTGCTGAAAAGACTGCTGCTGAGCTCACAGAAAATATCCTGCAACATCTGGAGGAAGATGGACTAGACATAAGCCTTTGCCGTGGTCAAGGATATGATAATGCTGCAACTATGGCAGGGATTCATGGTGGTGTTCAGGCAAAAATAAAATAGATTAATCCCAAGGCTTTGTTTATGCCATGTGCAAACCATTCCCTGAACCTATGTGGGGTGCACTCATTTGGAAGTGTTGCTTCCTGTGTGACCTTTTTTGGAACATTGGAGAGAGTGTATTCCTTTTTTTCGGTTTCTACACATCGTTGGGAATTGCTGATGGAAAATTTAGGTGTGACAGTGGAAAGACTTTCCTAAACAAGATGGAGCGCTCATTATGATTGTAACGGATCACCTGGCACCCCGACTGGGTACCTCAGTTGAAGGATGCTCCTAGTTCTTCCTGAGGGCTCCAAGCACTCCAGCCGACACCATAACCACTGTAGACTCCTCCAGAGAGCAAGACAGGAACAAGCTCTTACAAGAGCTTAGTAGTAATATAGCAAGGGAGTATGACTAGCATAGCAATTACTTGTAGCAAATTCCCCCAGTAACGAGACGACACTTCGTTTTGAGGGTCAAGCAGAACTGACTATACTGGCACATACAGCCTATTTTATTCATAATCCACAAACATAGTACTGCCCACAGGGTTTTGAAATACAACCAATCAATCCGTACAATACACACAGACACTAACACACAAAATCCTCCCCTCTGCCTGTGATATGATTACTTAACACAACGGGTAATATAATTATCACAGGCAGAGAAATACAGTTTTTACAAAATATTAATAACTTCCAAAATATACATGCCACTCACATAAAACATACATTTTCAGCATCCGCATGCTTGAAATATACACATACTCAAAAATCAGGGCAATTGGTTCAGGGGTTAAAAAGTTAAGGGAAAGTCCTATTTGACAAAATGAAGCATGGTTTTTCTGCCCAAAACCAGTTCCACAGAGTCTTCTATCCTGGAGATAATTGGGAAGTAATCCAATTATCGCCAAGGACAGAGGCAAAACTCCATTAGCCACATGGTAGCAAAATACAATAAAATACATAAAAATATATAACTGTGCAGCGATTACATAAACGGGTACATTCAACATATCCCCAGATAGCTTAGATCTGAGCGCAAATTATTACTGAATGGCGCTCAGATCACATACATACAGTTCATTTGCCATGGAGCCAAAGTCTTTCACATAGTCTTTCGTTATACGAATGGGCTCCATGGCATAGCTATCTGGGGTAACACTGCTCACATAGGGAAAGTACCGAATGACCCGGCTTTCGGGTCTTTGCAGGGGAAAATCCAGCATTTCAACATGGGGCCATAGTCACAAGGCAGGAGGCTGGCAATCAGTCTTCTCCAATGCCCAGTGGCGAGGCTGATTCCGCCACATTGATGCTGTGAAGCCAGTGAGGGCAAATTTTGAAAAACTGACTTCAGCCCTTGAAAAATTGTGTAATCCCAAAGAAAATGTGGACACAAGAGGATCGGCTCAGATGTGGCTGTCTGCCGTATGTGATTTTTCTTTTTTGTGTTACCTTTCTTTCTGGTTTGAAGTTCTAGAAGAAGTTAATATCACACAGAAATATTTGCAAACTGTGGGACTCACTCTTGAAAAGTGCATTGTGAAACTACAAGGTTTGAAAGCGTTTCTAACAGATCAGCGCAGTGAAATTGTGGAGAAGGCCATTTGTTATGCAACTACTACGTGTAAAGAAATGGATATTTTAATGGGAAGAAGAGGGAGAGTAAAGCTCTGTAAAACAATGCCAGGAGAGAAGGCAAATGACTCTGGTCTCACATTGCCAGAGGAAATGAAAAAGGCTATGTTTGTGCCTTGATCGTTTTCATCATGAGTTAGAAATTCGTTCCCAGGCAATTGAAAAAATCCTTTCAATGTTTGCTGTTATTCAGCCAAACTCTCTGGTTGTGGCAACAGAGAAAGATATTCGTAATTAAACTCCAAAAAAAGACATCCGCATCTCTGATTATTTAGTTTACATTTTTCATATGTGGTATACAAAAAATGACAATTCCATAGTGAGTTTTCCACAATCAATTGTTACTGAATAAACCATCTACTTTATTTGAAATTATTCTGCTTTTGTGCTGATTTATGGAAATCGTGTGCACTCTCCAAATGATAACAACGGTGTGCCCATTATGGTTATTTCACTTATATTAAACTTTAGTGTAAATTATTAAAAAAAATGCTAGAAAAATAAACCAAGCACAACTCATCATTAAACAAAAATCAAATGAACACAGGCGCTCTGCGTCCAGCTGTCACTAGATGGCAGACAGAATGTTTGAAAATGAAAAAAAAAAAATTATATTGTCAATGTAATCTATGTACGTCCTCATACGACAAAATATCTCTGGAATATAATTTGCATTAACAGAAATAACCTTAGGGGAAAAAACTTAGGACTCATTTAAAAATAAGATACAACTTAATTATGTTCTGCACGAAAGTGCTAAAAACAGCAGTAGCCTTATATGACAAGATAATTGCAGTTACATATTTTAAAACTCTGTTGTATAAAGTCTGAACGGTATTTATAAAATAAGTGCATAAAGCTTTGATTCGATTTATGAGTCACTGTGCCGACATTCCATTTCATACAAACATACTATCTGTGTGCTATTCTAAACTCCTTTTGTTCAATTAAATAATTATTTTTAATACCACTAACATACAGGGACAAAACCACATTAGTGTAATAACCTTAAGTATTTCAACTATATGTCAGGTCGGTCATGCCATTATACATATATTTATGTATTTATTTATAAAATATTTTACCAGGAAAGATACATTGGGATTTCTCTCATTTTCAAGTATGTCCTGGGTCCACAAAACATTGCAGTGATACAATAGGGTACAATGAAATACAAAAACAATATTAATACATAATATATACACAATTTAACATAGAACAGGTAGGAACTATATAATCAACCCTGACAGGTGCATTCTGTTTTGAGGTATGTAGAGCGGGATCTCTTAAAGGACTTTAGGCTTGGAGAAGATTTGAGAGTGTGCGGGAGGTCGTTCCATAATTGCGGTGCTCTGTAGGAGAAGGAGGATCGGGCGGCTTTCTTTTTGTATTGAGGTAGAATAAATAAAGTGCTGGCATGGGATCGGAGGTTATAGGAGGTGGGAACAGCCAAGGAGAGCATTCTGCTCACTGAGTAAAGGTGTGAATAAATCAAACCAAGAACATTGAAATTCACAATTAATACTAAGGCTAACTTGAATAATAGTAGAAAAGTAAAAAAGGAGGGGACACTCTGTGAACCCCTAAAGCACTTCAGCAAACATATTTAGGGGTTCAGTGTGTTTCTTTCATTGATGTGTTATTCGAGGGGTGTTTTAGAGACTGTTTTATGTAGATGTATTTATTTTTTATTTGGTACCACTGCAATGGCCATTAAGGTGTGAGCTCATTGAGCTCACATGACAATGTCCGTGTCCATTCCTAACTTTGTATCTAAGATCCTAGGAGCTTCACTGCTTCTGTGAGTATTTGTTTTTATTTGTATTTGTATATTTGCACTATAAATACTGTTTCTTTCAGAATGTTGTTAGCTTGCTAAAGGTTCTTTTAGAGCTAAAATGTTGTTCTATTCTGTCCAATAAGATCTGCATTGGACCTTGTACTGGTCAATTTTGGTTTGAAGGCATATTGTCGTCCTAATCACGTGTGCCTATCAACATCTCCATATTGCAATATCAAGGTAAACATTTTAGATTAGTCATACTCTAACGGTTTACTTTGCTGCTGTCTACAAAAGTAGGATATAACGTATTACTGGGCCTTAGAATGGCCGAACTATATGTCAGAAAGAGATAAAGCATAATCAGAGACGAGACGAGGTCAGGGTAACAGAGAGACAGTGAAAACGAGAATTAGCCAGAGTCAGGTACACGGTAATCAGTCAGGCGGCAAACATGACAGGAAAGGGTTAAAGATAAACTCAGAGTCAGGAACAAAGCCAAGGTCAATACCAGTATAAACGCAATAGTTTAAGGAACGCACTAAAGGGTACTGAAACAGAAACTATGATAGGGCAAAGTGGACAGGACTAGGGACATTTAAATATCCTTTCGACTAACATTCGATTGGCCCACGTCATGCCTACGCCCCCAAAATGTGCATGTGTGGGGTTACTGGATTGACGTGGGCC